TTGTATCTATTTGGGGATCTCTGGGCTTCCTGAATCTGGATGTCTAAATCTCTTGCTAGACTTGGGAAGTTTTCATGTATTATTTTGTTAAATAGGTTTTCTAATGTTTTCCTTACCCCTTCACCTTCTGGGGACATTGAAAATTTGAATATTTGGTCACTTTATTGGTGTCCTATATATCACATGGACTTTGCTCACTTTTTAAAATCATTTTTTCTTTATTTTTGTCTGACTGGGTTATTTCAAAAGACTTGCCTTCAAATTCTAAGTTTCTTTCTTCTGCTTGATCTAGTCTGTTGTTGAAGCTTTTGGATGTATTCTGTATTTCATTCAATGAGTTCTTCAGTTCAAGAATTTTTGTTTGGTTGTTTTTTATGATGTCTATATCTTTAGTAATCTTCTCATTTGTATCTTGCATTCTTTTTCTGATTTCTTTGTATTGGTTTTCAGTATTCTCTTATATTTCACTGAGTTTCTTAATGTCAATATTTTGAATTCTTTTTCTGAGGTTTCATAAATTTCTTTTTGATTGGGATTTGTTACTGGAGAATTATTGTGTTCCTTTGGAGATGTTATATTTATTTGCTTTTTCATGTTTTTTGTGTCCTTACATTGGTATCTGTGCATCTGTTGTAAAAGTTGCTTTTTCTAGTTTTTGAATTTGCTTTCATAGGGGAGACTTTTTCCTGAAGATGTATCTGTGGTTGTTTGGGTAGGGCACTTTGATTCTTGGTGCATGCACTGGAGTTGTCTCTGTATGATTTCTTCAGCTGTAAACAGTATCAGTGTTGCCTGTGATTTTCTTGGTGGCTCATGGTGTGATTATTAGTGGAGGCTATGTTGAAGTTTGGCTGAGGGCTAGGCCAGTAGGTAGGCCAGTCTTTAGGCCCCAGTGTTGACAGCAGTGGGCTGGGCATGCCTGTTCTTGCACCCCAGCGTTGCTTATGCTGGCACAGGTATTAGTGTGTCCAATCAGGCCAATTCTTGCGCCTCCAGGTGGCTTGCTTGGGTGGCAGGAATAGCAGCAATGGGCTAGGTGGGTGGGCAGGTTCTTGAGCCCCTTAGCAGCAGGCCTGGTGTGGATGATGACAATTGCAGTGGTGGGATAACTCTTAGGGATCCAGGCGGTCTGCACTGGTGTTGGTGGTGGCTGCAATGGTCTGGGAAGGCCAGTGCCTAGGCCTGCAGGTGATCTATGTGGGTGGGTGCCAGCTGTAGTGGCAGTGGGAGATTGGGTGGGCCTGACCAGAGACTATGGGAGGAATGCTTAGGTATCAGTGGTGGTGGACCGGGCTGGGCAACTCCCACACCCTGAGATGGAATACTCAGGTACTGGCCTGACGGTTAGAGCTGGGCTGGGTAGACCTGCCCTCAGGCCCCCTGGTGATGTGTACAGGTGCTGGCTATGATAGACAGGGGTGGGGTGATCCCCAGGCTGCCAGTGGAATGCTCAGGTGTGGCCCTGCTGCTGGGGAGGCCAGGATTACTTTCATTGAGAGCAGCTGGGGCACGGCAGCAGTTCACAGTGCTGCCATTGCAGGCATGGAATGTGTCCTCAGGGCATGTGAAAATGCCTGGTTGCCTCTCTGCTGGGGGTGCAGTTGGGTGGTTGTTGTCAGTGGCTCCTGCCTAGCCCCAGTGTGGAGGGGGCTGGGCTCTTAAAGTGGTGCCATGCTGCTGCTGCTTAGGGCTTGGGGGTGTGTGGGACACAGCATGACCTCCCTCTCTGGAGCGGTGCTGCCGTTCAGTTTCCAGGCAGCTCCTTACCTTAGTCAGGGCCCTTGAGGGTTGAAGGTTGAGGGACTCTCCTACAGCTAAGAGTCTGTGGTGGGAATGTAGATTGCTGGGGGTCTCTCACTTACTCTTTCCCCACTTTACCGGACCTCTCCAGGCTCCCAGCCAATCCCAGATGAGCAGGCTGTCTTGCTTCCCTCTCCTTCCTTGCTTTTGGTGTTTCCCACTCCTCTGTGGAATTCCAGTGCTGTCTCTTAGATGATCTATTTGAAGTGTGATGACCTACTTGCTATTTTGGTTCCTTTTTATGGAAGAGGCGAATACCATATGCATGTAGTCAGCCTTCTTGAAGCCTCCCGGTCTATTGTTTGTTTTTTAAAATATAAACGTGACCATACTCTGGAAATGTCTCTGCAGTTTGCTCTTGCTCACTTAATGATCTATCTCAGGCATCTTTGTCACTTCCTATAGAGCTGCCTTGGTGTTTATCTCAGCTCATACTTTTCCATGGTATGATGAACCATATATATCTGATGGCCATTTAAGCTGTTTCTTTTTTTCCTACTACAAACAATGTTGCATTTAATGTTTCCTGCATGTATCTTTGATAGGTACGGAGAAGTGGAGCTGTTGGTTTCAATGGACACGCACATTGTGTGTGTGTGTGTGTGTGTGTTTTGTGTGTGCGTGCATTTTTGAGACAGAGTCTTACTCTCTCACCCAGGCTGGAGTGCAATGGCACGATCTTGGCTCAGTGCAATCTCTGCCTCCTGGGTTGAAGTGATTCTTTTGCCTCAGCCTCCTGAGTAGCTGGGATTACAGGTGTGCACCACCATACCTGCCGATTTTTGTATTTTTAGTAGAGATGGGGTTTCTAATGTTGGCCAGGCTGGTCTCAAACTCCTGACTTCAAGTGATCCCCTCACCTTGGCCTCCCAAAGTGCTTGGATTACAGGCATGAGCCATTGTGCCCAGCTCGTTTTGTTGTTGTTGTTTATTTTTTTAGAGGAATGGTCTTGCTCTGTTGCCCAATTTGGAGTACAGTGGTGCAATCATAGCTCACTGTAGTCTCGACTTCCTGGGCTCAAGCTGTCCTCCCACCTTGGTCTCCCAAAGCACTGGGAATACAGGCATGAGCCACGAGACCTGGCTACATTTTGTTTTGATAGATGCTGCCAACTTTTGCACAGGAAGTGCTATTCCAACTAACCTCTCACCAGGATAGCACCCATTTCCTCATACTTTTGCCAACAGCAGACATTATCTTACCCCCTTCCCTATCTGATGAACTAAAAATATTTCTCTTTGTTTTAATTTACATTTCTGTGATTACTACTCAGGTCATTCATATGTTTATTGGCTATCTGTATTTCTACCATGAATTGTCATTGTTTATTTTTCTGTTGGGATATTTGTTGTTCTTCTGATTTCTAGGAGCTCTTGTATGGTATTATATTAACCTCTTGTCTACACAGGCATTGAAAGATTCTTTTCCCAATCTGCTTGTCTTTTTTCCCTGTTTATGACATCTTTACACTTTTAGTTTTATATTTAGTATGAAAAATCTCTTTGTCTTCAAGTTTCTTTGTCTCATTTGGGAAGGTATTTTTCAACTGAACATTATTATTTATATTACTTTAATTTTTTTAGACACAGGATCTCACTCTGTCCCCCAGGCTGGAGTGCAGTGGCCTCATTCACTGCAGCCTTGGACTCCAGGGCTCAAATGATCCTCTTGCCTCGGCCTTCCAAAGTTCTGGGATTACAGGCATGAGACACTGTGCCCAGCTCGACTCAACATTATTAACAAAGATTATGAGGTAGATATTTGGAGGGTGGATTCTTATAATTTATTGAACCTTCTTTTTTTTTTTTTTTTTTTTGAGATAGAGTCTGGCTCTGTCACCCAGGCTGGAGTGCAGTGGCCAGATCAGCTCACTGCAAGCTCTGCCTCCCGGGTTCACACCATTCTCTTGCCTCAGCCTCCCGAGTAACTGGGACTACAGGCGCCGCCACCATGCCTGGCTAATTTTTTTTTTTTTTGTATTTTTAGTAGAGACAGGGTTTCACTGTGTTGGCCAGGATGGTCTCCATCTCCTGACCTCGTGATCTGCCCATCTTGGCCTCCCAAAGTGCTGGGATTACAGGCGTGAGCCACCGCGCCTGGCCCTATTGAAACTTTTGGCTGAGAAGTTTTACACAGTTTAACAATTACCAAAGAACGTGAAGAAGATGAAGAAGGACACCGCTTTATTGAGGGCTGGATCATCATCTGGACACGCTGTGGACTTCTTCTCTGTAGCCACGTGCTAATTTCCATTTTACAGATAAGGAAATAGGTGACTTGTGGCCGGTCACGATGGCTCACGCCTGTAATTCCTGCACTTTGGGAGGCCGAAGCGGGCGGATCACGATGTCAAGAGATCAAGACCATCCTGGCCAACATGGTGAAACCCCATGTCTACTAAAAATACAAAAATTAGCTGGGCGTGGTGGTGTGTGCCTGTAGTCCCACCTACTTGGGAGGTCGAGGCAGGAGAATCTCTTGAACCCAGGAGGCGGAGGTTGCAGTGAGCTGAGATCACGCCGCTATACTCCAGCCTAGCGACCGAGCAAGACTGTCTCAAAAAAAAAAAAAAAAAAAAAAAAAAAAAAGGTGACTTGTCCTAAGTCACACAGTTAGGTTGTGTGAAACACAGTCCTTGGGACATAGCAGGGGATAAATTAATATTTATTGGATGAGCAAGTGAGCTGGAATTGGACCCTCAGCCTGTTTGACTCAACCCAACTCCTGTTCCTACATCCATGGCTGCCCCTTGCTCTCCCGGCACATGGCCTCCTGAGTTTAGCATATTTTTAACATCAGAGATAGATTGTTCTAAAATAGATAATTCTGTGTTTGAATTAGTTTTCCCTTTCCATATGATCTAAAGCCAAAAAATCTGGCTAATTGTAAGGGGATTAAGATGGAGCTTAGGAACAAATTGACTTTTTAGTTTTAGGCCTGAATCTTTGCACAAAACAACAAAAACCACAACAGGAGGAGGAGGCAGCAGGAAGGATCCAGAGTTTTCACTGTAATGCTATTGGGCACCACCTCTTACACGGATGTTCACCTGTGGGGAAACACAGGGACAGCTGCCGTCTGCAGCAGCTCTTTGATCCCCAGGATTTTTGACTTATATAGAATCCAAGGTGGGTGGGTAGGGCCTGACTCTTACAAGACCTTTGAGTCTGTTTTGTTTTTGGTTTCCTATCTCTTTCAGAACATGCTTCTAGAACTTTCATCTATTATGAAAAAATAATGCATCAGGAGCAGCTGGTACCTGCAGGAGGAGAGTTGTGCCTTTGTCAGCTCAAACTGCAGGAAGCGCTTTGGGACCCATGCCCTCTGCAGACACCCACCAGGCGAAGGGTCCTATTCAGGGTGCTCCCAGCCTGGGCTCACTTCCACAGGAGACCCTTCCCTTATGGGGGCTGGGGACAGATTCTCACCCTGCCTGGGCACACTGCTTGAAGGAGGTCTGATGCTCGGGCAGGGAGGAACTGTACACCGTCAGAGGAGATCTAGGGACAAGAGCGGCTCTGCTTGAGGAGGAGGATTGGTATATGTCTCCTCTTCCCCAGTCCCAGCACAGCCTGCTGGGATATTTTGCAAGAGAGTTCCCCAGCTCTGTAGTGGCAGTAACAGTAGCAGTTGGCCCCTTAAACGTGGGTCCAGAGCAGGCCTGGAGCTTTGTGCTCAGCCTGAGGTCAGATGTGCTTCCTGTCTATAAAGAAGAGGTTGACAAGAAACTTTTGAGGCTTTTCCTCTCACCAGTTCATTTCTTGGGGATGAATCAGTTGGATTTTTAATTCACCGATGGCATGGAAATAAAATATGGATTAAAACACTGGCAAATGCTCGCATGCTTTTTTTGTACCCTTCTGGGATCATTCATGGGTAGTGGTGATGCCATGATTGTGCCCCCCAGGAGCTTCCTGGGGGTGGTAGAAGCCAGCACGTCTTCCTCACCCTGCCTGCCCTCCCAGTGGTCCTGAGCCATCCAGCAGAGTGTGTGCCGTGTGATGTGCACTGACTAGCCAACCCATGAGGCTGCTCGGCTGGTTGCTGCTTGGCTCATCTCGGCTCACTGCAACCTCCACCTCCTGGGTTCAAGCCATTCTCCTGCCTCAGCCTCCCAACTAGCTGGGACTACAGGTGCCCATGACCAGGCCCGGCTAATTTTTGTATTTTAATATTTTTAGCTTCTTGTTAGTGAGGCTGGTCTTGAATTCCTGACCTCAGGTGCTCCCAAAGTGCTGGGATTACAGGTGTGAGCCACCGTGCCCAGCCCTGAGTTTTTAGAGCCATAAAGGTGGACTCAATTCCCATAGAAAGAGCCTTTTAGCTCCCCCGTCCTCTACCCCACAGCCAGAGTAGCCCCCAACCCTGGCCACGCACCTGGTAATAAAGGCTTCAAGTTATAAGAAGAATCAATTTGGTTGAAAGCCATAAGGCTTGGCATCATCTATGTCCTGTGAGATAACAGCCACAGGAAATTCAGGCACTGGCCCCTGCCTCTGACCTCATTTCCTGCCTCTCACTTGTAACCCAGCTGTGGCAGCTGTCCCGCTCCTGCCTGCTGTTGCCCACCCAGGAGTGTGCTGCTGGACAGTGTCCACCTATCCTGTGGCTGCCTTTTGGGGACTCATTATTTTCATGGAGGCAGTTTCACCATATCTTCTCAGTCACCCATTCACTCACCATGCCTTTCTTTGTGGCAGCCTTGTAATTATAGTAACGGTTGGGGGTAGATGATAGGGTGTTTTTTTTTTTTTTTGTTTCTTTTTGTTTTCTGTTTTTTTTTGAGACAGGTCTCGCTCTGTTGCCCAGGCTGGAGTGCAGTGGCATGATCTTGGCTCACTGCAACCTCCACCTCCCGGGTTCAAGCGATCCTCCCACCTCAGCCTTCCCAATAGGTGGTACTATAGAGATGCACCACCATTCCCAGCTAATTAAAAAAAATTTTTTTTTTGTAGAAATACTATATTCCATGTGCTCACATTATCTATACCTTGTACAACTTGTCAAGTTGTTATTGTTCATTTTCATCTTATAGATCTGACAAGGCTCAAAGAGATTAACTTTCTCCACAGTTAAAGATCACACAAGTTGAAGTGCCTGCTGGAATTCAAATCCATATCCAGCTGCTCTGAGGCCTGCAGTCCTTTCAGAAATCCTTGCTCTCCTTTCTGTAAAAGTCAGCAGCCCCTGGGCAATGATTTATTTATTTATTTATTTTTTGAGACGGAGTCTTGCTCTGTCGCCCGGGCTGGAGTGCAGTGGCCGGATCTCAGCTCACTGCAAGCTCCGCCTCCCGGGTTTACGCCATTCTCCTGCCTCAGCCTCCCGAGTAGCGAGGACTACAGGCGCCCGCCACCTCGCCTGGCTAGTTTTTTGTGTTTTTAGTAGAGACGGGGTTTCACCGTGTTAGCCAGGATGGTCTCGATCTCCTGACCTCGTGATCCACCCGTCTCGGCCTCCCAAAGTGCTGGGATTACAGGCTTGAGCCACCGCGCCCGGCCATCAATGATTTATTTGTACATCTCTCTGCCCAACTAGCCTGTGAAAGCTGTAAGGGTAAGGTATTTGACATCCTGGATGCTCAGCATGTAACACAGTGTTGGTTGAATGAATATGTATTTATGGATAAATGCCAAAGGCAATACCTTACCCATTGCTTCCAATTTTCCAGTCTTTATTTCTTATACACTTTCTGTCATGTTGTGTCAATAGGTTTGTCAATAGGTTTCAGAGGCCTCTATGGCAACTTTTTTTGTAATTTCAATTTCTTTCACTCTGAAAAGTCTTTACAGGATTGTCAACACAGCACATATGGAGGTTTTAAAAAACAAGTTTGAGGCTGGGTGTGGTGGCTCATGCCTGTAATCCCAGAACTTTGGGAGGCCAAGGTGCGTCATGAGGGGATCATGAGGTCAACAGATCGAGACCATCCTGGCCAACATGGTGAAACCCTGTCTCTGCTAAAAATGCAAAAATTAGCTGGGCGTGGTGGCATGCGCCTGTAGTCCCAGCTACTTGGGAGGCTGAGGCAGGAGAATTGCTTGAACCTGGGAGGCGGAAGTTGCAGTGAGCCAAGATCGTGCCACTGTACTCCAGCCTGGTGACAGAGCACGTCTCAAAACACAACAACAACAACAAAAAACAAGTTTGAGCTGGGCCTGGTGGCCTGCCCATAGTCCCAGTCACTCAGGAGGCTGAGGCAAGAGGATTCTTGCGACCAGGAGTTCACAGCTGTGGGCGCACTACGATCATGCCTGTGAATGGCCATAGAACTCCAGCCTGGGCAGCATAGCAAGGCCTTGTCTCTAAAAAGAAGAAAAAACAAAGTCTGAAGGGCCCAGTGTAAAATGTAATGTTTCCAGTGACTGCTAGTGTGTCTTGGAAGGTTTCCGTTCACTGCTTCGGGATGAAGGGCACTGTCTCAGGGATGGACTTGTCTTCAAGAAGAAAGAGTAAGAACTAGCCAAGGAGAATCAGCAATGCCTCTTTGTGGCTAAGCAGGCCAGTGGCAGGTGTGTGTCAGGATCTGCAGGAACCAGGGACGGGTGTGGAGACGGGAGATGTCATGCTCTTGAGTGAAATGAAAGACACTTGTGTAATGGGATATGTGGCTTTCTCCATCTCTCTGGGCCTTGATTTTTTGACACCAGGAAGTATTGTGTTCATTTGTATCAGGAAGGCATAGGTGCTCAGTGAGGAGAATTGGAAACCCATTTCTGCTCACGGCAACTTCACCAGCTGGTGTTAAACATTAAGTATAATCTTGCTAATGCATCCCAAGTGGTGGGGCAGAGTTGGGTGAGGTGGTGGGTTGGAGAAGAGGGAAAGATTCTAAAATGATTTCAAAGAACAGTTCAGTTATTTCCAAATACATTTAACGAAACTGCTGGCAGGGCCTGGTGTAGAGGCAACCTGTCCTCACTGTGCCCCAGAGGCAGATACAAATTTCCCGTAAGAAGCACATGTAAAGTAGGAAAGAAAATGGCTGCTGTCCACCTGGGGCTGGACAGTGCTTAAAAGCTCTTTTGTAGCTGCGATTCCCAACCTTTTTGGCACCGGGGACTGGTATCGTGGAAGACAATTTTTTCCACGGACCAGAGGTAGCGGGGGTTGGGGGATGTTTTCGGGATGAAACTGTTCTACCTCAGCCTCATCAGGCATTAGAGTCTTATAAGGAGCTGCAACCCAGGTCCCGCACATGCACCGTTCCCAGTAGGGTTCGCACTCCTATGGGACTCTAATGCCACCGCTGATGGCAGGAGGCGGAGCTCAGGCAGTAATGTTCACTCCCCAGCTGCTCACCTCCTGCTGTGAGGCATGTTCCTAACAGGTCATGGACCGGAACCAGTCTGCGACCCAGGGGTCGGGGACACCTGTTTTGCAGGACACAACAGCTGGTGAGGTTTATTTTGCTTCAATGCATGACCATTATTTGTATCACAAGAGCAAATGTCAGGGTTGAAGGTGCAAATAACCATCAGTTCTAAATTACCAGGTTTTCCCACAGAAAATTCTGGGACTCTGACCCACCTGTTTTTCTCAGAGTGGATTAACTTCCCATCTTCAGGCATAGGTAATCCACCTCTAGTACCGACAATGTTATGACTGTGATGTTGTCAGAGCAGCACACATTTGCAAAACCCATGACCTGCTCTCAGGAAGCCTTCCTTGACTCCATAGGTGCCCATGGAGACTCGCCCGAGGGAGCAGAACTTGGCAGCTTTTAATTTCAGTTTTCCCATCTGGCGGTCAGGTGCACTTCTTGAAGCTTGGATCTCGGCAGCACAGCCCTGCCCTGCCCAGACATCATGCGCATGCACTCGTTACAGCCTCTCTGACAGCTCAGACCATCCCTGCTCTGCTCTAGTGACTTTCTCTCACCTCTGAGTCCAGTGTTTGCTCATGGTCACTCGACCTGCCCACCATTGGATATCTTTTCTCTTTACATTAAAACCTAAGACACAACTAGGAAATACACTTTTAGAATACACCTTTTAAACCGTACAGTCATGCGTGGCATAACCATGTTTTGGTCAATGATGGAACGAATATATGACAGTGGTTCCGTAAGATTGCAAGCCCTATTTTTACCACACCTTTTCTATGTTAAGATACACAAATACTTCCCTGGTGTTACAATTGCCTACCATCTCCAGTACAGTTACATGCCGCACCAGTTTGCAGCCTAGGAGCATACAGTCTAGGTGTGTCATAGGCTTTCCTATCTGGGTTGGTGCAGCACACCCTGATGTTCTCACATATGAAATTGTGTAAGGATGCATTTCTCAGAACGTACCCCCTCACTAACTGATGTGTGACTGTGTGGATTCCTCAACCACAATTCTACACATCTTTCCTTGCAACTCATTGCATCTTGGTGTTGGTTTAATGTTCTTTCTCATTTACTTTCATTTAGTTTTTAAAAAATTAAGCCTTTTTTTGGATATAATTGCAGATTTACATGCAATTGCAAGAAATGATACCCATCACCCAGTTTTCTCCCATGGTAACGTCCTGCATGGTAACAGCACAATATCAAAACCAAGAAATTGGGCTTAAAGCCTTTTATCTACTCTCACAGGCACTAGGGATTTTTAAAATTCAGAGTTTAGGAATCACATTAATATTATCAAATTTTAAAGATTCCTAATCAGATTAATCAGGTAGCAAGTAAGGGTCTAAGTCAGAGGAAGAGAAACAGCCTCTAGGAAAAAAGATTTCCTGAGGTTTCTCACTCTGTAATTTGGAACACACGGATCAGAGAGAAAGAAAATCAGTTTACAATGCATAATGATATGTCTTTATTTCATCAACAGAAATGGTGTCTAGACAAA